ACTGGGGCCACCCAGGACAACATTACAAGACTGGGGCCACCCAGGACAACATTACAAGACTTGGGCCACCCATGACAACATTACTTACAAGACTTGGGCCACCCATGACAACATTACTTACAAGACTGAGGCCACCCAGGACAACATTACAAGACTGAGGCAACCCAGGACAACATTACAAGACTGGGGCCACCCAGGACAACATTACTTACAAGACTGGGGCCACCCAGGAAAACATTACAAGACTGGGGCCACCTAGGACAACTTTAAAGTACTGGGGCCACCCAGGACAACATTACAAGACTGAGGCCACCCAGGACAACATTACAAGACTGAGGCCACCTAGGACAACATAACAAGACTGGGGCCACCTAGGACAACATTACAAGACTGAGGCCACCCAGGACAACATTACTTACAAGACTGAGGCCACCCAGGACAACATTACTAGACTGGGGCCACCCAGGACAACATTACAAGACTGAGGCCACCCAGGGCAACATTACAAGACTGAGGCCACCCAGGACAACATTACTTACAAGACAACATTACAGTACTGGGGCCACCCAGGACAACATTACTCACAAGACTGAGGCCACCCAGGACAACATTACAAGACTGGGGCCACCCAGGACAACATTACTTACAAGACTGGGGCCACCCAGGACAACATTACTTACAAGACTGGGGCCACCCAGGACAACATTACTTACAAGACTGGGGCCACCCAGGACAACATTCGGAGACTGGGGCCACCCAGGACAACATTACTTACAAGACTGGGGCCACACAGGACAACATTACAAGACTGAGGCCACCCAGGACAACATTACAAGACTGAGGCCACCCAGGACAACATTACAAGACTGAGGCCACCCAGGACAACATTACTTACAAGACTGGGGCCACCCAGGACAACATTACTTACAAGACTGAGGCCACCCAGGACAACATTACTTACAAGACTGGGGCCACCCAGGACAACATTACAAGACTGGGGCCACCAAGTCCCATTACTTACAAGACTGGGGCCACCCAGGACAACATTACTTACAAGACTGGGGCCACCCAGGACAACATTACTTACAAGACTGGGGCCACCTAGGACAACATTACAAGACTGGGGCCACCCAGGACAACATTACAAGACTGAGGCCACCCAAGACAACATTACAAGACTGAGGCCAACCAGGACAACATTACAAGACTTGGGCCACCCATGACAACATTACTTACAAGACTGGGGCCACCCAGGACAACATTACTTACAAGACTTGGGCCACCCAGGACAAAATTACAAGACTGAGGCCACCCAGGACAACATTACAAGACTGGGGCCACCTAGGACAACTTTAAAGTACTGGGGCCACCCAGGACAACATTACAAGACTGAGGCCACCCAGGACAACATTACAAGACTGAGGCCACCTAGGACAACATAACAAGACTGGGGCCACCTAGGACAACATTACAAGACTGAGGCCACCCAGGACAACATTACAAGACTGGGGCCACCCAGGACAACATTACTTACAAGACAACATTACAGTACTGGGGCCACCCAGGACAACATTACTCACAAGACTGAAGCCACCCAGGACAACATTACAAGACTGGGGCCACCCAGGACAACATTACTTACAAGACTGGGGCCACCCAGGACAACATTACTTACAAGACTGGGGCCACCCAGGACAACATTACAAGACTGAGGCCACCCAGGACAACATTACAAGACTGAGGCCACCCAGGACAACATTACAAGACTGAGGCCACCCAGGACAACATTACAAGACTGAGGCCACCCAGGACAACATTACTTACAAGACTGGGGCCACCCAGGACAACATTACAAGACTGGGGCCACCCAGGACAACATTACTCACAAGACTGAGGCCACCCAGGACAACATTACAAGACTGGGGCCACCCAGGACAACATTACAAGACTGAGGCCACCCAGGACAACATTACTCACAAGACTGAGGCCACCCAGGACAACATTACAAGACTGGGGCCACCCAGGACAACATTACTTACAAGACTGGGGCCACCCAGGACAACATTACAAGACTGAGGCCACCCATGACAACATTACTTACAAGACTGGGGCCACCCAGGACAACATTACAAGACTGAGGCCACCCAGGACAACATTACAAGACTGGGGCCACCCAGGACAACATTACTCACAAGACTGGGGCCACCCAGGACAACATTACAAGACTGGGGCCACCAAGTCCCATTACTTACAAGACTGGGGCCACACAGGACAACATTACAAGACTGAGGCCACCCAGGACAACATTACAAGACTGAGGCCACCCAGGACAACATTACAAGACTGAGGCCACCCAGGACAACATTACTTACAAGACTGGGGCCACCCAGGACAACATTACTTACAAGACTGAGGCCACCCAGGACAACATTACTCACAAGACTGGGGCCACCCAGGACAACATTACAAGACTGAGGCCACCCAGGACAACATTACAAGACAGAGGCCACCCAGGACAACATTACTTACAAGACTGGGGCCACCCATGACAACATTACTTACAAGACTGAGGCCACCCAGGACAACATTACTTACAAGACTGGGGCCACCCAGGACAACATTACAAGACTGAGGCCACCCAGGACAACATTACAAGACTGGGGCCACCCAGGACAACATTACTTACAAGACTGGGGCCACCTAGGACAACATTACTTACAAGACTGGGGCCACCCAGGACAACATTACAAGACTGAGGCCACCCAGGACAACATTACTTACAAGACTGAGGCCACCCAAGACAACATTACTTACAAGACTGGGGCCACCTAGGACAACATTACTTACAAGACTTGGGCCACCCAGGGCAACATTACAAGACTGGGGCCACCCAGGACAACATTACAAGACTGAGGCCACCCAGGACAACATTAGGAGACTGGGGCCACCCAGGACAACATTACTTACAAGACTTGGGCCACCCAGGACAACATTACAAGACTGAGGCCACCCAGGACAACATTACAAGACTGGGGCCACCCAGGACAACATTACAAGACTGGGGCCACCCAGGACAACATTACAAGACTTGGGCCACCCATGACAACATTACTTACAAGACTTGGGCCACCCATGACAACATTACTTACAAGACTGAGGCCACCCAGGACAACATTACAAGACTGAGGCAACCCAGGACAACATTACAAGACTGGGGCCACCCAGGACAACATTACTTACAAGACTGGGGCCACCCAGGAAAACATTACAAGACTGGGGCCACCTAGGACAACTTTAAAGTACTGGGGCCACCCAGGACAACATTACAAGACTGAGGCCACCCACGACAACATTACAAGACTGAGGCCACCTAGGACAACATAACAAGACTGGGGCCACCTAGGACAACATTACAAGACTGAGGCCACCCAGGACAACATTACTTACAAGACTGAGGCCACCCAGGACAACATTACTAGACTGGGGCCACCCAGGACAACATTACAAGACTGAGGCCACCCAGGGCAACATTACAAGACTGAGGCCACCCAGGACAACATTACTTACAAGACTGGGGCCACCCAGGACAACATTACAAGACTTGGGCCACCCAGGACAACATTACAAGACTGAGGCCACCCAGGACAACATTACTTACAAGACTGGGGCCACCCATGACAACATTACTTACAAGACTGAGGCCACCCAGGACAACATTACAAGACTGAGGCCACCCAGGACAACATTACAAGACTGAGGCCACCCAGGACAACATTACAAGACTTGGGCCACCCAGGACAACATTACAAGACTGAGGCCACCCAGGACAACATTACAAGACTGAGGCCACCCAGGACAACATTACAAGACTGAGGCCACCCAGGACAACATTACTTACAAGACTGGGGCCACCCAGGGCAACATTACTTACAAGACTGGGGCCACCCAGGACAATATTACTTACAATACTGGGGCCATCCAAGACAACATTACAGTACTGGGGCCACCCAGGACAATATTACAAGACTGGGGCCACCCAGGACAACATTACAAGACTGGGGCCACCCAGGACAACATTACAGTACTGGGGCCACCCAGGACAACATTACTTACAAGACTGGGGCCACCCAGGACAACATTACTTACAATACTGGGGCCACCCAGGACAACATTACTTACAAGACTGAGGCCACCCAGGACAACATTACAGTACTGGGGCAACCCAGGACAACATTACTTACAAGACTGAGGCCACCCAGGACAACATTACAAGACTGGGGCCACCCAGGACAACATTACAAGACTGAGGCCACCCAGGACAACATTACAAGACTGGGGCCACCCAGGACAACATTACAAGACTGAGGCCACCCAGGCCAACATTACAAGACTGGGGCCACCCAGGACAACATTACAAGACTTGGGCCACCCAGGACAACATTACTCACAAGACTGAGGCCACCCAGGACAACATTACAAGACTGAGGCCACCCAGGACAACATTACAAGACTTGGGCCACCCAGGACAACATTACTCACAAGACTGAGGCCACCCAGGACAACATTACAAGACTGAGGCCACCCAGGACAACATTACTAACAAGACTGGGGCCACCCAGGACAACATTACAAGACTGGGGCCACCCAGGACAACATTACAAGACTGAGGCCACCCAGGACAACATTACTTACAAGACTGGGGCCACCCAGGACAACATTACTCACAAGACTGAGGCCACCCAGGGCAACATTACAAGACTGGGGCCACCCAGGACAACATTACAAGACTTGGGCCACCCAGGACAACATTACAAGACTTGGGCCACCCAGGACAACATTACTTACAAGACTGAGGCCACCCAGGACAACATTACTTACAAGACTGTGGCCACCCAGGACAACATTACAAGACTGGGGCCACCCAGGACAACATTACTAACAAGACTGGGGCCACCCAGGACAACATTACAAGACTTGGGCCACCCAGGTCCATTACTTACAAGACTGAGGCCACCCAAGACCTCCAGTAACGAAAGCAAACGTTCTCCATCCCTGAGGTCAGTGAAGAGGTCAGTGATGGTCACTCTCTTGGACTGGCGAAAGATATAGACATGATCATCTTTAAAAAGTGGCACTTTAAAAACGTCAAGACTAATAGGCTGACTATTATAGCACAAGTTAATGGCATCAATTTTAAAACTGATTTGAGTCTAAGACAGCTGCATGTAAAATACAACATAACCTGCTACGTTTATGGCGAATGTGATGTATCACATCGATCCAACCCGTCTATTTTTTTTTTTATTGGAAACGAACAATTGAATGCCGGGTAAAATGTCACACTTACGTTGGACAAAAGCACTGCCGGCGAGTTTGTTGATACCAACAAAGACTATTTACCTGTTGGCTAATCTGTTTAGTATCCTACTGGGGTATGTATTAACATGTAAACAAAGGGGAGCTAACCTTAGACAGCTGAGAGTTAATCCACTTGGTGAATGTCTTTTTCTGTATGTCCTCTCGTTCATCTGGGGAAAAAAAGAAAAAAAACCGGATCAGTTGTGTAAAACTCAGGCATGACAATCAACAAAAGACTGACTTTTCCAGCATCTTGTGTCACGTGTATGACATGGATCTACTGGGTCTGACAAACATTAAAAGGGTGTTTAAACACATTTAGTAGCAGGGTTCAGTTAGTTTTGTTGTCTGTATGTGTGTGACACAGTGCAACACTTTAAAAACACAACACGGGGTTTAGGTCTTGCTGTGTCAGGTCAAACTGTTTCTTTTGGGTGTCTTTTATTCAACCAAAATAGATTTTATATAGAGAAAATATACTTCAACCAGTGTCTGCCCCTCCCACCCACTTCCTTCATGGAGAAAAATGTCTGAAAGAAACACTGATCTTAACAGACGATGTATTTTAGTTCTTGTAGTGTTAGATGCAGTGTAATTGTTAACGTGTAAAGAGCCCTGCGGTTTAGTAATATTTATGTCTTAAAAGAGTGGTATGTAGTAGTTCTACTTTAAAGTGGAGTTTGTGGTAGTTCTACTTAAAAGTGAAGTTTGTAGTAGCTCTGCTTAAAAGTGGAGTTTGTGGTAGTTCTACTTTAAAGTGGGGTTTGTAGTAGTTCTACTTAAAAGTAGGGTTTGTGGTAGTTCTACTTAAAAAGTGGGGTTTGTGGTAGTTCTACTTAAAAGTGAGGTTCGTGGTAGTTTTATTTAGAAGTGGGGTTTGTGGTAGTTATACTTTAATGTGAAGTTTGTGGTAGCTCTGCTTAAAAGTGGGGTTTGTCGTAGTTCTACTGGATAGCATGGTTTCTATTAGTTCTAGCTCTTAAAAGTGCGGAGGTGCATTCATGGGATCGTTATGTGAATAATTTAAAAGGGTAGAGGAATTATTTACATGATCGACATACACATTATAGTATTTATCAGAATGTCTTTGAATTAGAACAAAAAAGAAGGTTGTGGTAGAATCAAGTATGACATCGGAAGTAAAACAATGTTGTTGACGTTTTAAAAACACGACATCAGGCAAACACCGGAAGTGACGCGACGTGTGACTCTGCGATGTCTACCGTGACGTGGATCCGCCCATTAATGACGTCATCAGTTCAAACGTTTTCTCTCCCACCTGTCAGGACAGGTGTTCGCGCTCTGGAACCCCGTTAGAACAAATCATTTTCTGCCAGACATTTTCCCAGATAGAGTCCCCCCACTTGTGCTCGGTGCGTCTGTCTCGTTCTGGCGAGGATCGGTTGGCTTTGTGGGAGCAACCGGAAACAGCTGTTTAAGTGATCAGCGATGTTGTTTCCTTCAATTAACTTTTTATTTTTAAATTATTTAAATAATTAAACTAATACTAAAAAACATTTTACTGTTTCTATAATACAACTTACAACAGAATATGCGCATGAAAACAATTAAAGCAAAAACTTACACGTATATCTAAGTGTACTTTATTGTTATAATTTTTTGTGCGAGAAGTATACGTTAATTACTTGTATTCAGGGCCGGCGCTACCTATAAGGCGAACTAGGCGATCATCTAGGGCGCCATCCCTAAGGGGGGGGGGGGGGAGCAAAAGGTTTAATCGCTATTATCAAAAAGTGCCTAATAATTAATAACTATAAAAGAGTAATGATCTATTTCGGCATCATGGACGAACTATCAATTTTGCACGCCCACTTCAAAACTAGATCTATATAGGCCTATATTTTTTCGCGATGGTGAAAATGCAACACCACATCACTAATTTGGATAAGTCTGGGCGCTTTTTACCAGTCACTTTGCCTTTTTAGTTTGGTGTCACATAATTGATGTAGAAAACGATTAAATAAGTTCGTTAATGAAAAGGTTAATTGATTTTTAATAGGGCTTGTAAGTCTCGTTTTCTCTGACTTTGAATTAGAAATCTGTCCTGGTGTATAGAGTTTTGTAATGACGGGGTGTTCAAAGTATTGTACTTGTTTGGTAAGTTTTGATGAATCGTTTAGATTTGGGAGTAACAGCGGAAGGCTATTGCTGATATGGTTTCGTAGGTATAAAGTATCGAAGTGTAAAAGTGTCATAACTTTTATTCGGCTGTTTTGTAGTTGAAGGTCTAGTAGAATCTGGTTGGTAATAGAGAAATGAGAATGCAGGTGATAAAGTATCGTAGTTTTGGAGTTTGGGAGTATTGATTCTTGTATTAAGGTATCGAATTATATTGACTATTAAATTGTAGTAGTAGGTCCAGTGGAATCGTTGTTGATTGGGAGTACCGTTTGTAGAGCTTGGTGAAGTTAAACGAGTTGGTGTCGTAGTTCTGGAGCATTGAGTCTAGTTCTGTTTAGGTATTGAACTTTGATATGTTATGAATGTAGTAGAGTATATCGAGTAGTCGAGTTTATGGTAAGTTAGATGATTTCATTAATTTTAATTCAGTACGGAACACACTACAAAGAAAGGTAGGCGTTCTCTAGTTGAAAAATCTTTAGTTTTTGAAATCTATATTGCCACTCTTAAAGTATTGGTATATAATATTAAATAGGATGGAATTTATAACAACATCTTTTTTTTTTTAATTTAATCAATGATCCTAGCAATGTCTAAAACAGTTACCAGTGTTTGATTTTACTTAAAGTTAGAGGCGTAGTTTTTTCTATTTTTTAAAGTGTCCCTTTATTTAGGGGATCCAAAATTTTATGTAACTACTATTTGTTGAGAAATTAACAATTTTAAGTATGTCATCGCAATTGAATAGAAGTATGCTATAATAAAGCTACCGGTTTTAGACTTTCAATCAAAACCTACAGTTAAGTATTCAATAAGTAAAATATATTGTTTTCACAACGTCACATAGGTAATATAAAATAAATTGTTATAATTATTAAATAATGAAATTTAGATCGTTTTATTGTTTTTTTTCAAGCATGTCTTAGCTACACTTGGTAAATTGAACTATTCTTGTGAAAGTTATTTCCCTTGAATTAAATTGTGGTATTTGGATTTTAACATGGGAGATAATTCGTTGCTTAACTCTACATTCATTTCAAATTCCTGCATGTTAGGTTGAACGCTTACTTATAAATACAACTTTAAGTTATTATTTGCTATTGTAACAATTATATAGAGCTTAAGCTCTAAACAAAATAGTTCAGTAGGTGTTTTTTAGCATTATCAAGTAGAAAAACAAATACATCAGTAGCAGTTATAGATTGCAATACTTAATGTTAGTAGACATACAGTCTTAATCGTAAATTAAACATCTAATTAATATCTAATTACATATTTTCACCCCCTCCTATGGATTCATATATAGCAATTTTAGGCTGGAATCTATATTATTTAAAACCTTTTATTTTTCAAAAACCAAAAAATCGTTATATAATCACACAATATAGACATTTTACAATTCTAACTACAGACAGTCAAGCTTAAAACAGGTAAGTTCCGTTTTGGAACTCACCTTGGGAGGACTGCATGGAGCCCAACACGATAAGAACTTTTTTGTATTTAGTGGTTTTTTTTCCAGACTTTTTTCTCACGGGAGGGGTGGGGGGAGAAGCACTTTAAATTTTCTAAGGTGAGGGAGGGGGGAAGCTATGTCGTTAAGTACAAAGTAGACTCGTGGACTTAGCAAAAATTTCAATAAAATATGATTCCGCTTGCAAACTGGAATTAAAGGAATGAGTACAAATGTATGAGACGAAGGAGGCAAGTAAAATTTGATTTTGATGTCTGCTTATAGCATGTATGCAATTGATAATAAATTAATGTCACTTTTAATAAATTGTTTTCTTATACATATGTTTTAGTAATTAATTTGTGTGAAAGGGGGCGTTTTAATAAGTTTAGTACAGACGCTAACAATCTCCGCCGAGCGCCATCGACACTACAGACGCTAACAATCTCCGCCGAGCGCCATCGACACTACAGACGCTAACAATCTCCGCCGAGCGCCATCGACACTACAGACGCTAACAATCTCCGCTGAGCGTCATCTACTATAGAGACGTTAACAATCTCCGCCGAGCGCCATCTACTCTACAGACCCTATCAACCGCCGCCGAGCGTCATCTACTATAGAGACGCTAACAATCTCCGCTGAGCGTCATCAACTCTACACACGCTAACAATCTCTGCCGAGCGCCATCGACTCTACAGACCCTATCAACCGCCGCCGAGCGTCATCTACTATAGAGACGCTAACAATCTCCGCTGAGCGTCATCTACTATAGAGACGCTAACAATCTCCGCTGAGCGTCATCTACTCTTCAGACCCTATCAACCGCCGCCGAGCGCCATCTACTCCCCGCAGGTTATGAGGATAGCGAAGCCTACAGTTTTAATCCGAGCGCTTAAGGTCGCGGATTTCAGTTAATACACTCCAATTAAAACCGTTGGTTGGGTCCGCGTTACGCATGACTGATTCTTCAGTTGTTTCACTTAAACACTTAGAAACGTGAATTGTAATTACACACTGGTTTTTTTAACCATGTTCTGCATGGCTGCGCCTGGTAATTGCGAGTTTCATGTTCTGTTTTTTTTTTCTTTAATTAAATTACAAAATGTAAGAGAAAAACTGGCAGAATAAACTAATCACGTTTTGATCGTCAAAATACAGTGCGAAGATATCTAGATCTATGGTTCTATCTGTCTTTGTTAAAGTCTTTGAATATAATTAGATCAAAGGTTCATCTGTCTTTGTTAAAGTCTTTGAATATAATTAGATCAAAGGTTCATCTGTCTTTGTTAAAATCTTTGAACATAACTAGATCTATGGTTCTATCTGTCTTTGTTAAAGTCTTTGAACATAATTAGATCTATGGTTTTGTCTGTCTTTGTTAAAGTCTTTGAACATAATTAGATCTATGGTTCTATCTGTCTTTGTTAAAGTCTTTGAGAATTAAACGTTTGTGCTCTTCATACCATTGGCTAATAATATGTTCGTGTAGGCCTCGGGTCGTTAAATAACGACACCTGATTTATTAAAGTAACGAAGACCAAAATAGCTGTTGAGCGTTTTTTTTTTAAACGCCAA